AGGTGTTGTTAAACTTCCTTATGGCTTGTTTCTTTCACAAGTCCTGTTAGTACCCGCTTTTAGCTACAATCTTGTTTCGGTCAGCAAGTTAACCAAACAAAATCATGTTTCACTTACCTTTGAATCCTCTGTTTGTGTCATTCGGGACCTTATTACACAGAAGAGGATTGGTTTAGCTCAAGTGGATAGAGGACTTTACCTTTTCACCAAGACACCATCTCCCACTTCATCACCTTAGTGCCTTGCAGCCACTTCTCACAACTTCCAGACCTAGCAGTTTGATCTCTGGCATGCCATATTAGAACATCCCCATGTCTCTAGATTACAAGCTATTCATAAAGTTTTCCCTGATGTAATAGCTTCTACATACACTCATTGTGATGTTTGTCACTTAGCCAAACAGAAGAGGCTTCCATTTACTTCCAGTTCTTCTATTAGTCATGTTCTTTTTGGATTAATCCATGCTGATATTTGGGGTCCATACTCCATTGCACGCAGTTTCTTACAATGGCTATAGTTATTTTTTAACCTTAGTTGATGACCATTCTAGATGTGTGTTGGCCTATCTTATGAAATCCAAGGATGAGGCCAGACCTCTCCTTCAATCCTTCTGTTCTATGGTCAAGTCTCAATTTAACACAAATGTCAAAATCATCAGGACTGACCAAGGACAGGAGTTTCATATGAATGATTTTTATAGCAAAGAAGGGATTATTCATCAAATGAGTGTTGTTTATACTTCCCAGCATAATGGGAGGGTTGAAAGAAAGCATCAACATCTCCTTAATGTTGCTAGAGCACTAAAGTACCAATCAGGTCTACCTCTGTTGTACTGGAGTGATTTTATCCTTCATGTAGCATGCCTAATCAATAGAACACCTACTCCCATTCTGAAAAATAAAACACATTTTGAGGTCCTTCATCAACTGCCTCCTGAATATACCAGTTTGATGGTTTTTGGCTGTTTGGCTTATGCAGCCACAGCAGGGCAACCTAGAACCAAATTTGATCCTCGAGCCAAACAGTGCATTTTCCTTGGTATACCAGCAGGCATCAAAGTTTTAAAAATTTTGAATCTTGACACTAAATAGGTCTTTGTTTCTCGAGATATGGTCTTTTATGAACACATTCTTCCTTACAAACAATCTGCTCCTTCCTCTCCACCAATCTTTTCTGAAATTTTTCCCTCATATGCACAGTCACCCAGTGTTCCTCCAATCCTGTGACTTCCTATCCTCATCAGTCTGATGCATCCCTTCCTTTCCTGTTATCACCATCTTCATCTAAAACTCCTCCTTCTTCCACATACACTTTTTCACCCTGTCCTTCCCATCATGAAGATCCACTCCTCCTCTTAAAAAAATCAATCAGAGAATCAAAACCCCCTTCGTGGCATTCTGATTATGATATGCAGTACCCTCAGAGTAAGAGTATCTCTTACTCCCACTTGCAACCCAAACTTCAGAAATTTGTTAATTCATTGATCACTCACATGGAACCAAGTACCTACACTAAAGCTTCAGAACACCCTGAGTGGAATGAAGCTATAAGAGAAGAGCTGCAAGCACTGTTTGACAATGGTACTTGGGAAATCACAGATTTTCCAGCTAACAAGAATGCAATAGGGTGCAAGTGGGTGTTTAGATTGAAGTTGAAGTCAGATGGCACAGTTGACAGGTATAAAGCCAGATTACTTGCAAAGGGATATACACAAGTTTATGGGATTGATTATTGTGATACATTCTCACCAGTGGCCAAGATGGCCTTAGTTAAAATGTTATTATCCGTTGAAGTTGTTAAAGGTTGGCATTTACATCAAATGGATGTCAGCAATGCCTTTCTTAACAGGGATTTGACTGAGGAAGTGTACATGGTGTTGCCACCTGGATTGGATCTTGATGGGAAGTACAAAGGGAAAGTATGCAAATTGAAGAAATCTTTGTATGGTTTGAAGCAAGCAAGTCGACAGTGGTACGCAAAGTCGACTGATTCTTTGATTAATCATGGCTTCAAGCAATCTACATGTGATTATTCAATCTTTACTGCTCATATTTTGGATGAGTAAGTAGTGTTAATAGTTTTTGTGGATGAAATAGTTATGGTAAGCTTGAGTTTGGAGTCAATCAATGCAGTAAAGAGAATGTTGCATGCTGGTTTCAAAATGAAGGATCTAGGAGAATTGAGTTATTTTCTTGGCCTTGAAATAACCCGTGGGAAACAAGGCATTACAGTTTCACAGAGAAAATACTACCTTGATGTTATTGCTGAATAAGGATTTGGAGATTGCAAACCTGCAGCAACTCCAATCTTTGTCAAGGAATTTTTGTCTTCAGAATGTGGTACACCACTTGAAGACATTAGTGAATACAGGCACCTAGTGGGACACCTTCCATACTTAACCACCACTAGGCCTGATATCACCTTTGCAGTTCAGCAGCTTTGTCAATTCCAGGACAAACCTACCACACAGCATCTTAGAGCCTTACATAGAGTTCTAAGATATCTAAAAGGTTCATCTGGACAGGATCTGTTATACTCTTGTGATTCCAATTTACAATTTAAGGGATACAGTGATAGTGATTGGGCTACTTGACCTGACTCAAGAAGGTCGATTACAGGATATTACACCTTTCTTGGAACTGGTTTACTGAGCTAGAAGAGTAAGAAACAAACAACTATATCTCGTTCCTCATCAGAAGCAGAGTACAGGGCATTGGCAAGTCTTAGATGTGAGGTGCAGTGGCTAATCAGGTTGCTCACAGAGTTTGGAATCGAGCATGACAATTCTGTCTCAGTATATTGTAATAATCAATCTACATTACCCATTGCAGACAATCCAGTGTTTCACGAGAGGATAAAACACATCGAGGTGGATTGTCATGTCATAAGGGAAAGGGTTCAATCAGGGATGAACTCTTTACATTACATTCCCACTGAGTTACAGTTAGCAGATATTTTCACCAAAAGTTTACCAATTGATCATTTCATTATGTTGTTATTCAAGCTGGGAGTATATAACCTATACTCGCCAGCTTGTGGGAGAGTGAAAAGGAGCGTGGATGATGAAGATAAAGATGCTCCAGAGCTAGTTGCTGACCATGGAAAAGATGTTGCTGATCTGGAAGGAAGAATGACAAAAGCAGAGAAGAATGTTGATGATGTGGTCATTGACAAAAAGAGAAGCAACACACCGTTTTGTATGCAACGACAGCCTTCAAGTTTTATTGTGTAATTAGACAAGTGTACAGAGTTGATAGGCTAGTTAGAATGTTAGTTTAACGGCTAATTGTAAATGTTAGTTTACCGGATGTATATAAGCTTATCTCAATGGAAAAGCTCACCATGAGCGATTTTCCCCAATCTGTTTTTCTGGCAAATTCCTCTCAATCTCTAAATCTTCTCATAGATATCGCTTTGTCGCGTTGATACGTGGACGTGGAGTGGGGTGGAGACCTGCACCACAATGTTGGGTCACTGTGAATTCTGATGGCTCGTTCTTACCATCAAACCAGCAAACAGCTGCCAAGTAGTGGTGCAGGATAGGCAGAGTCACTTATCAGCCTACACCATCATTTTGGTAAGTTTTTCTATCACTCACGCGGATTTCAGAAGGGGCCAATGAGGATAACCTTGCAGATGGATTCAAAAACGACACTATCCATCATGCAAGTGACGTTGATCCATTGCATCAACATACGAGTTTAGTCTCTCTCACGTATTCGAGGAGAGGAATAGCCTAGTCGATTGTTTGGCCCATAGGGTTTTCTGTCACTTTTGGCACTCATTCTAAGCAAGACCCTGAGATGCTATTGGTTGTAGGGGTGGCTATACGGTCCGGTCCGATTAAATTGGCCTGAATTGATCTGGTCCAGGTCTGGTCTTTTCGAGAATATAAGGATCAAAGATTGGATTGGATATAGGTCGGTCTTGATCCGGTTCGGTCCCAATTCGATCTTAATTTTAGATAGAGTATGTGGGGATTTGAGTGGTCTGAGGGGGGATTTGAGTGGCCTAAGGCTCGAAAGGGTGAGGATGTTAAATTTTGGGTGTTGGGCTCTCTTATCCGGTCTTTATCCAGTTTTTCGGTCCGGTCCCGAACGCTTTTTTACCTCAAATCTATGTCCGAAGATGGGATTGGATTGTTTGCTATCTGATCCCGATCCGGTCTCAATTCCGATCCGGTCTCGATCTGGGTTATGTAATTCAGTTTTTGGGTAAAACCAAAAAGCAGGACCAAATAGTCATCCCTAATTGGTTGTATGACATTATAGTATTCTATGCCCGATGGATCAATACAATGAGCTAACGGTCATTTTTAAATATCAAAGCTTGGCTAAATGGCACGTGGGTTTATAATTATGTTCCATATTTGCCACCAGAATATTTTAATTACATGAGTGGTTGCTAAATTTACATTTATTTTTATGAATTTCAAGTAATTGTATTTGTGAGTGGAGAATTGAATGATTAAATTATTTATTTATTTTTATTGACGGTCACACGTAAATGTTGACTTCCACGTATAATTATGATTTGGAGTAGGGTAGAGAGTGACCGATGGAGTAGTTGTGAATAAAAATGTGGATGCAGAGAGACTCTGATATCACTTGTAACATCGCGAACATTTTAAAAACAATATATTGTCTGCTTTGGGCCAAACTCCACACAGTTTTTGCCTTGAGATATATAAAAAGGTGACTTCCTATAAAGTCATTCATCCTTACAGTGCTCCACAGTGAGCACAATTGACTTTGGATTTATTACATTTACAAATTACAAAAACTCCTCCATTGCACCCAAAAGTCAAATTAATTTCTTACTTATAAACTATAAATCTCTCTCGTACTTTATCGATATGAAATTCGCCTAAACGGTCACAAAAAACTATTTAGCATAAAAAAACTTAGTCAAGTGGGAACAAAATCACTAGTGAGTATTGACCAATTTGCTAAACCAACCAAATTAGAAAAGAGGAAAGAAGTAGTTGGGACTGAGAAATTATTTTTTCACACACAAAGAGGAAACGTCGCCTGCGATTCCTTCACACGCACAAAAACAAAAACAAAAACGAAAGCAAAAAAAATAAAATAAGAGAAAGAGTCGCCTCCGACTCTTGTAGGACGGAATCGAGGCTTTGAGTGGTCTGTCTTCTCGTCAGATACGAGAGAACAGAGGGAATAAAAGAATGGCTGTGCAGTTCAATGGCGGCAGCTGTGTTGTGGCAAGATCAATCTCACCGGCGGAGTCGCCGTCATTTCCGTCTGCGTTCCGTAAGTTGACCGGCGGTAGGTTTGGTGGTTCCGGCAAGGTGCGGCTCGTGTATGCAGTTGGCGCTGCTGGAGCGGGGAACAGCAGCAGTGATGGAAGCAGCAAGAAGAAGAGCGTGCCTAATTCCAATTATGTGGTGCCTCTCGATAAATCGTTTTCCTTCGCCCAATCTTCTTGCATAACTCGCCCGCTCGCAGAGATCTTACGTGATCTGAACAAGAGGATCCCGGATAACATAATCAAGCCTCTCCAACCTCCGACCTCCATTCCATGGTATTGGGATTTCTTTCTTTCTTCCTTGAATCTGCAATTTGGTTGGTGAACTTTGTATGTCCAAATCCCTAATAACCCACCTCGGATCTGTTCTTTGTACTTGATCATCTTTCATAGGTATCACGCCAACCGAATGCTAAGCTTCTACGCCCCTGGTATGTCCCCTGTTTCTTCCTTTCATTTCCTTGATGCTGCTATCTCATCATCCTGACCTGATACATTACCCATTGGCACTTTAAGAACTAGGATGTAGTTTGTTTGGCTCCTCTCTTTGACCCTGAACTTTTCCCTTATCAGCAGTTTGTCTGTCCCTTGTTCTAAGTTTTGATCTTCAGTCAGTTACTTTCTAGTTCTAGTTACCTTTCTAAAGATGTCCAACCAGTTGGTACAGGGCCTCCGAATGTTAAATTTGCGAACTTGTTACCTGCTGTTGCTTCTGCTTTCTGTGGGTTGTTCCGTCACAATTGGCTGGAGAGCACAGCATGTTATTGTAGCGTTTTTTACACCTTCGATCTAGTTCGTTGCCAAATTAGCATTCGAACGTTTTCTGTGATCCTATCCATGCTAGTGTTGCAGCAAGAACATATTTTGGCATACACTAAGTAGTGAGTTAAACTGTGTTAATGTGCTATTGCTGAAAGATGCCCCTACTTCTGGTGATTATTTACACAGCTGTCTTCCAGACATTTCATGCTTTGGTCTCTTTAGTGAGCTGTTACTTGTTTGCGCTTAAGTTATCCTTTGTCAAGGAAGAACTGGGAATCTTCTTCACTTTATAACTATGAAATTGTTGTTTGTCAATTGGATAGGGTGGTGTGGAGAAATAAGGGATGTTATATTTTCAGACAACGGTAGCGTTACTGTGGTTTACCGTGTTACCATACGTGGATCCGATGGAGAGGTATGTTTCTGGTTCCTTGTACTGTACTTTGCATTTTATATTTTTGTTCCTAAATTTGGCGATAAATTGAGCATAAGGGGTACCAACCAGAGGCATGTGTTGCAGTACATTAGGCTAATTCACTTTGAAGTGTGCTCTAGTTCTTGGCTTATAACAGCAGCTGATGGCATTTTGCTCGGATGGTTATGCTTTTGAAATTAGATACTATCTAAGGAGAGAAGTAACAATCGGGACACCGACCACCACCTTCCTTGGCATCATTAGTAACATAATATGTAGAGGATAACCTGAAGGCAGAACTGTTGAAGGACTAATAATGCATATAGTTCAGGATGTGTTCTGTACTTGTTTGTTATAGGTGGTAGTTGATATATATATATATATATATATATATATATATATATATATATATATATATAGGTGGCTACTTCGGTGCACTCACTTTTTTGGGTGCACTCAGTGCACCCACTCTAAAAGTGTCCATATTACATCAAATTTTGAACTTTAATTAGTACTCTCAATCTAATATGATGATATGACATAGAATCATAACAAATCAATCTATTACCCTAACCCCTTAACCTTCAATTTTGAATCCCAATCCAAAATCTCAAATTTTAACCTAATCCCTAACCCTAAATCCCTAAATCCCAAATCCTTCAAATTAAAGTAAATTTTGAATGAATTTTTTTCAAATTCATGTGCTTCTTGTTCATAATATCATGAGCAACAATTGATACCGTTTTGACATGAATCACATGCTCAGAATGACAATTATGAGATGGGTGCACTGAGTGCACCCAAAAAAGTGGGTGCACTGAATACGCCACCATATATATATATATGTGTGTGTGTGGAATTTTAGAGAGAGAGAGGGGGGGGGGTGTTCCAACGGCATACATGGCCTTCTTAGTTCGGAGATTGGACCTGACATTTGTTCTTCGTAGTTCTGTGAATTACTTCTCGAACTTGATCCTTGGACTGCTAAGGATGTTTCTGGAAATTTGTAACAATGAGGAGCTTTAATCAAAATGTAAAAGTAGGCTATAGGTTACCCGCGAGGTAGAATGGGAACAATGAATCACAAATGTAGATTTCTGATATTGCAATGAAATACTTAGCTAAGGAAATGCATTTTCAGACAAGTCTTCGGTTTCCTTTTGGCTCACCGGTTTGATATATGTTACTGATACAGGCACACCGCGAGTCAAGTGGCACAGTGTCACCGGTTGATGCCGACATTGCTGATCCTGTAGCAGCAGCAGAAGAAATAGCTTTCTGCAGAGCTTGTGCTAGGTTTGGGCTTGGCTTGTATCTATACCATGAAGAATAGAGAGTATCCTCACCACACAGGGGTTTGAGGGTGTGATTAATGTATGAGTCCGTTATTATTACGATGTTGTACTGATTAATCTCTCGCAAACTCGGCCAGCCAACAAAGGTAAATAACTTGAAAGAAATGTTTGCTTTCCAAAGGTTCATTGATTTGTTCCGGTCGATTGTGCCCGATTTTAGTGCAATGCCACAAGGAAACTGAAAGTTAAATGAACAACTGAAAGCAACATGAATACACCAATAAATAAGCACGAGTGGGAAAATGTTGTCGATGAGATGGGAGGATATGATTTATTCTTCTTCTTCCTCTTCTTCAAAGCATTCCGTTCCAAAAAAAAATGGGCAAAAAAACAAAAAGAATAGGAACAGAGACTGGGTAGGGGCCAATAATACGATGTCCAAAGCCAGAAGGACGAGCTAATAGTGTGCACTCGCTAGGCAATTCGGCAAGGAGATATGCAATTGTGGAGGCATGGTTCAATCAGGCTGCGGAGTACTGGAAACAAGCTATAGCACTTGCTCCTGGAAATCACAGCGAAACACAGAACGGGCTAGTGGCTAGAGATCAATTCAGAGGGATTTTGGAGAAAGCATAGGCGGCAGGGAGGATTGTGGAGGTTCAGAATCATCCCTGGGATAGTAGTAGGGGTAGATAGTGTAGATTGTTGAAGCAATGGTGAGGGCGAAGAGGAAGAAAGCGGCAACAAGGGAGAGGATAGCCCAAGGGCTCCTGAAGTAGGTATGGATGAGGTTGGCACGCCACTCATTCCAAGCCTTCTTGCAGTAAGCATTCACTCTCTTGTGCACAACATCCAGGCTGCTCTCGGGATCGAGGGCGGTGTCCCTAGAGAGGGAGTTGAAGAGCTTTGCCACGGCTTTATCGCTCCCTAGTGCGTTCTGGATGATCCCATTGGAGACGAGCAGGGCCACATCTCTCTGGTCATCGATGATTTTGTCCATGAAAAAGATGTAGGATGTCACCTCATTCCCTGCACCCACATGGAACCGCTCGTAGGCTATCAGATTCAGGTAGATGGACTCTGTAAAATCGTCCACCTCGATCACCGGAAGCTTGAGGACTCCGCCTTTGAACGTGATGTCTCTCGGGCTTCCGGTGGAGCTCTTCTTGAACCGGATTCCAGCTTCGTTCAGCTCCATGGCTGATCGGACAATGTCATCTCCGGCTTCGCAGAAAGCACTGCCTCGTGTTGGACGTTGGCGCCTTCTCCTCCTCATGCCCAAGGCTTCGTCGTCCTGATGAATGAGGCACTTCCGGTACACATCGACCACGTGCAGGCACTTGCCTAGATTGATCACAGGGGTGTTTGGAAGACAGAACTTCAGTATGAGCTTGTTCACGTATTCCTCGTCCTGCAACCAAGTTAATTGCAAGACAGTTTAGGAAAAATTCGACGTGTATATAGAGTCCTACATATATATCTTTGTGCGTACGTACCTTGCAGGCGTCACCGCACTCGACAGCAAGCAGCTTGTCGAGAAGGAGCATCGGCAGCTGATTCTCGAGCATCATCATGTCACGCTTGATATACGGCATGAGGTAGATCCTCCCGTGAGTGCTGAAGATGGGGTCACTCTGCGCGTAGTCGTCCAATGTGTGAGTAGCAACGCGCAGAACTTCGAGCATGAAACAGCCATCGACTATCATCAACCTTACGAACTTGCTGCTGCTTGCAGTTGCAGTGGCATCTTCCTCGTCCGTCCATGGTGCCTCCAGAGGGTTATACGACTCTTTCAGAGAAGCAACCACCTCGGCTATGGCATCGACGAACAGCTGCAGAGGTTTGTTGGACCTCCTCAGGAAATGTAGCAGGGCTCTTTGCTTGTGCTCTTCCATCGGCAGGAGATGGTCCTCGCTGTGATGGTAAGGCCCAAAGGACACGGCCTGGGGCCTGTATGCTATCTTGTTCAGATCTGTCACACAGGCAGGAAGTTTGTAGATGGATTGCTTCTTCCAGTGCTCTTCCTCTGCTGAAGCATCTGCCATCAGTTTTAGTTGCTCATTGACTTCAACAACCCAATTCGTCGCTGCTGTCGCCGCCGCCATTGAACGACGTGCGTTTGGCCCTTCTCCCTGCGCGCTCTAGCTATGTGGGGAGATGAAGGTTGTCTGGAAATCTTGAATGCATGTGATCAAGATGATATGATTTTATCGTACTGGGTCTGAGGATTAAGGATTACTTTGCTTGGTACGGAAGCAAAACTAAAGTGGTAAGTTGGGAATATGGAGAGCCAGCAACTTTAACAGACGAATATATCTCCACTCGGCCCATTATCGGAAAAAATAAGGATAATTGAAGGTGACGGCCGGGAGAGTTATGCTTTCCTTGCAAAAGCAAAGAAAGAAACTAGTTCCTGTAAGAAATGTGCATCACGTGTATGGCTTCCTTCTGCAGTTTCGTTTTCTTGTTGATGAAAACCTCAGCAGGACTCTATCTATATATGACTTGCAGGAAAAGCCTCCATCGGCCGGCCCTGCCTTGTGAATGCAACTTTTCTTATTTATACCTACTCAATGCCCATAACTTGAATACATAAATGATAAATCGACTAGCGATTTCTCTTAAGTCACCTGAATCCTGATATGGTCCAGAAAGCTGGGGTTGAGATAATGAATTCCAGCAGATTTTTTTTTACAATAACTTGGAATAGTATTCTAAAAGACGTAACTTGCAACAGTAACTGCCGGGGAAAAACTGTCAATACTAGCTCGCTCGTGATGTTAATTTCTCCTGGTCCTAGTCAGCTTTACCTTGATTGCCACGTAGGGATGAAGAATTGGCACCGTCAGCAACACCACTCGGATCACCTGCAACCTTTGCGAATTCAGCGGAGTACTTTCTAATCCTCAAGGAGATGATAATGCTAGATGCAATTCCAAGCAAGGGAAACAAATATGACCAAGCCTTGGATCTCTGAGAACCAGATGCAGAAGCAACAGCAGCACCAGCAAGGCTGCCTATGGATGTATTCTGCAGAATCATAGGCAGGCACCCAACCACTGTAGGGAGCAGAAAGTCCACCAAGAAGCCAACTCCAGTGGCAGCTAGAGCATAGTTTATCATGTAAGAGGGAACGGGTGAGAAGCGCGCCAGAAGGACAAATTTCCAACCGTCTCGCTCAACTCCTCTTGAAAGGACATGGAAGTACTTATTCCTCTGCACCCACGCCGCTGCTGAGCTTGATCTCCGGAAAACTAGCCTGAGCAAAAATCATAAATATCATCACCACAAATATAGATTTATCGTAAAACATATTAGTTCATCAATTAACTGGACTGACAGACAACCTGACTGATGGCTGTAATCAGATCAGAGTCATGAAACACTACATACATTTGAGTTTTGACTTTGGAGTCCATCACCAAATAGTACTACTAACCTACTTCCACAGGAGAAAAAGAAGTGTGCTGGAATCTACTCCCAACAGTATGGTATTGAACCTGACCAACGAACCATTTCAATAGAACTTATTATCCTATAACTAAGGAATGGGCACAACATACTAGTATCTGTGCGAGGACGACACTCAATGCAGCGCAGTCCCCTTTTCGGCAGTTCATATTGACAAAGGGTAATGGAGTCGAGATTCAACAGGACAACATAGATACTTTGAGCTATTGGCAATGAAAGATGGAAGGAGTGCCAGGGTTGAGACTGGCAAGTTACAGATCTGCACTAGAATTACTGACTTATGTGTGAGCGTGGAGAAAGGCCGTGGGGAAACCTAGGACCTCCGAGAGTTTAGAATTGTGTTTTGCTAATTGCTATGATAGCTTTGTAAATGGAGTGCGGGACTAGTGGCTGTACCACTGGGCATTGAATACCAAAATTCAAAAACCAAATTGGGCACAGATGAAAGAACACCACAGAGTTGCATCATTCAATACTTTTTTTCCCCCAACCATCATCAAGAAATAAGCGTGGGAAATGTAATGAGGCAACCCTTTCTACCAAACCCTACTCACTTGGCTTTGGCCATCATTCAAGGAAGCAAACCATCAACAACTCAACAACAACAATTCCTGCTGCTGCCATTTCACATTCCTACTTCTAGCAACCATCAAAGGAGTACCATACTAGTTTGACCAAATCAGTTTCTCGCTATCTATCAATTGGGCAAACATAAAACTAACTCGTAATTGAAAGCAGATACTTGTTCAACTCCTGCGCACCTGCCGATCCAAAAGGACAGAGAAGCTCCCAAGATTTTGGCAGAGAAAACGCAGAGAAGCGCCGGGAAGAAGCCGAACAGGAGAGAAGCAGCCGCCTCAAAGAAAACGGCGTAGGGCAAGCAGAGAGCGAGGGTCAGGGTGTGAACCCCAACGTACAGAGGCATGGCCCAAATGCCCAGCCGATCGGACCATTGAGCTAGGAGGTGGAATGCAGCGTCTTTGTCCCACCCAAAACGAGAACCGAATTGCTTGTTTCCGATTACTATTCCCAGGACGACGATCAAAACGCCGACCGTCCACCGCCTCCCCATTTCTCTGCTTCTTCTGTGATTTGGGGGAGATATTGACTGCGGCAACTGTCTAATTCTGCAGCGGAGTGACGCACTTGGATCTCCGATAGTGATGAGAGGATGGGCCAAGTGTTGGTTCTTCACTTCGCCTGGATTCTGTTATTTTTCTCCCAACAGAACTTCTGGGATCTGGATTATGTTTTATGTCTCGCTACCGGAGATACCAAAAAGGGATGTGGGCCTTGCCTATACCCTATACTCATCCGACTGGGCAAATATAAGAGGGTCAAATTAAGCAAAGTGATGAAATAAGAAATAGCCTATTGTAATTAGATACATTAAATTGATGGAAGCGGTCACGAATTGAATTAAATATTTTTAGTGATCAAACATGAACTCTGTTTAGTAATTCAGTGTCCAACCTAACAATTTATCCAAATAATATAATACAAACAAAGTAAAACATCATATTAGTTAATCTTGAACATTTGAATATTTTATCATGACATCAATCACATGTTCATACATAACATACAAAATGAATGTATCAAATACGAGCCAAGATTTTAGTAAACAAACCTATTTCGAGCGCATACCTTATATACAAAATGCGAGCCAATATTTTAGTCAACAAGTCTAGTTTGAACTCGACTCGACTCGTTAATAAACAATGGGAAGGATTGACGATAACACAAAATCTATTAAGAGGTTAACAGGTAGATGTTCTACTAATCACTGGCGATCAATTGTGAAGCGACTCAATAGAATTTGGGCTATCTACAAGGGTTGCGAAGTCAATCGAAATGAGCGCTTATAACTATTGAAAGAGATAGATTCGTCAAGAATTTTGAGGTGAATTGTTATATATAAAGTGTATTGCTACTAGAAATTCCTATATTGAAACCTTGGAAATTTTGGAATGGAAACTTTGTATAGGAAGGGGGACGAAGGTTGAAAGTGGAGGGGGGCATATTATGGGGTAAGTGGCATTGGCATTCCCTAGAAAAGTAGAAATTATCACTCGTTTGGTTAAGATTCAACAGTGGTGACTGGTGAGTGGGTCAATGGGGAAAATCTCATGTTTCGGTTGCCCCCCAAATCCAAGTGCAAATAAGAAAAAAAAGTTACTGCTTTAATATTTTTATTTTTGTGTTAGTTGTTCTGATTAGTATACAGAGAGAGTGGTGGGCTTTTTGCTTCTTATTAGAGAGAGGGGTGAGTCATAGGGAATGGTAACAGAGAAATTGGTGGAAAAAATACCAAAGTACACTAGTTCTTAAAAAAAATTCTCAAAATACATAAGTTATAAAAAAAATTCCAAAACTACACATGTTTGGCATTTACCATTTTTGACAAACGCAGTGAATATAATCACCGCTTTTGTCAAACACGGTGAACATATCACCGTTTTAAAATAAAACGGTGACGTGTTCACCGTTTTAAAATAAAACGGTGACGTGTTCACCGTCTTTGTACAAAGCGGTGAAGTCTTCACCGTTTTTGTTAAACGCGGTGAAAACGTCACCGTCTTAGGGCAAAGCGGGGAACATATTCACCGCCTCAGGCTAAGGCGATGATTATTTCCCACGTTTCCCGAACCTGGTAGGTGAAAATTAGGTCACAACTACCTAATGTTCAACGTTTGAGACAAACGCGGTGATGTTGTTCACCGTTTGAGACAAAGGCGATGAATACTGGCCGATTTTCCTTTAAATACCACTCCCACCTGCAGTTCTAAAAACGTAATCCCTCCCCCCTCTTCAAATTTCAGCAGCCAAAACCGAGCAACATACACATAACAGGAATTTTCAGTATGATTTAATTTTCGTATTAATTCCTAATGGTTATTTTTAGTAGTTATATTGTTATGTTTTGAATTACTTATCGTAGCAAATATGGCTGATGTTATGAATTACTGGAATTATGCTAATAGTTACTTATTGTAAATTGTAGATATAGGTAAATTCAAGAAGTTTCAGCTTATTATTCGATGGAATGGAAGGGTTACAAACTCTGACATAAGGATTGATTATGAGGACGGTGTATCCACTAAGCTGAAAATTGAGTCGCGATTCAATTTTCAAGAACTTTGTGATATTTGTGCAGACAAGGTTTGTACGAGCGGACAGACGAGACTTTGTAAAATTACTTACCGGTATCCATGTATGAGTACTGGCGGGCTTGTGTACCAAGAAGTTGTCATAAACGATGATGACGTGGTTACGATGATGCTACAGTTCCTAAGCGATAACGGGATGCGGCAAGCAGAGGTGTATGTTGAGACCGAGGCGGTCGGTGGAACTCATTCTCACCGGTATTCTTATGATGATGGTTTTGCAGGAGGGTATGGATGGGGTGGTAGTTCGAGCAACTACGAAGGAGGTGGTTATACAGGAGGTTACGGAGAGGGTGGTAGTTCAATCAACTACGGTGGAGGTAGTAGTGCAGGATGGGTGCTATCGGAAGAATACTCGCAACAGGATCAACCTCAAGATGGCGTTCAATGGCCTGCTTGGGGGCCTGAGTGGGCTGAAATCGAGAATACCATTCGAGCAGGCGTACTTTACATGAGCGATAAGACGATGTTGGTGATGGTGGTCATGTTGATCCTTCTGGGCCGAGCTATCCATTCGACTCGAGCGACGATGATACTGAGGAAGATTTGAGATCAGTGAGCAAGGAGGAAGATACTGATGATAACGATGATGAGGCAGTATTTCGTGAGGCACCGACGCCATACTACACACAGGTTCCAACTCAATTTTTACATAGTTAGAATGATGCCCCCGACTTTGTCCCTACACCAGTGTATAATCCGACGGCCAATTTGGAGGTGGGTATGGCGTTCTCATCGAAGGACGTTGTGCAAGATGCCTTTACCGAAGAGGCCTTGAGGCGCAATTTCGAGTGGAAGGTAAAATATTCTGACAGTAAACAATTACATGTCATATGCAAGAATGATGCAGAGGGCTGTACGTGGCAACTGCGGGCTGCAAATATGAAGAGAAAGGGTGCCTGGGTGATTCGAAAAGCTGAGACCAACCACACTTGCTCCTCGTCCATACGTTCCCAGGATCACAGACAACTGAAAGCAAAGAAAATTGGGAGAACTATTAAACACCTTATCGAAGCACAACCAGATATCAAGGTCAAAGCTATCATGGCCGAGGTGAAGGATCGACATTCTTACACGATAAGGTACAAAAAAGCATGGCATGGAAAGCAGAAAGCCATGGCTGAGTTGTATGGTGATTGGGAGGATTCGTATGCTTTACTCCCTAGACTTATGGCCGCAATGGAGGAGTCCAACCCTGGGACTGTTTTCGTGCCAGGATACAACAATGTATACATTGAGGATCAAGGTCGAGTACAGGAGAAGTTGATGTTTCACCGTCTTTTTTGGGCTTTCAAACCATGCATTGATGGATTTGCGTTCTGCATACCGGTTATTCAGGTATTTTAATACATGTTTACTATTTGAAATGTTTCTATTCTTGCATACCAAGTAAATTTCATACTAATTACTTCCTAATATTTAATTAGGTTGATGGAACCTTCCTTACTGGGAAGTATAGAGGAACTCTTCTCATTGCCACTGACGTTGATGGAAATAGGCAGATTTTCCCGCTTGCATTTGCAATAGTGGAAGGGGAGAACAGCTTAAGTTGGGCATGGTTCTTTGACCAACTACACGAACACGTGACACAGCGGGAGGGTATTACGATTATATCCGATCGACACGCGGGGATTAGGAATGTCGTGGGTGGTTTTCCTGACGAGTGGGGATGGACATGGCGCTGGTGTATTCGACACTGGCTCGCCAATTTCCAACACAAATTTGGAAACAAGAAAGACATCAAAAATCAATTGTGGCATGCAGGTACTAATGTCCTTTAATGCGAGTTAACTATGTGTTTAATAATTTGTTGTTTATCATGTATTGACCATTTCTATATTGTTCACCTTGCAGCGGTTGCACATCAACCAAATGCTCGGGTTGATGGTCATTCGTATTTGCGTGGGTCTAGAGGTGCGAACATTGGAAGATGCTCCCATACATTGGAGGTGCGGTTGACCGTTTCTAACCAAAACGATAAAACAGTAACGAATGCTCAGGTTGATGGTCATTCGTATTTGCTCCTATCCACCTTGTAAGTAAAAGCATGGAATAAATTTAAATTAGGCTAAGTATGGATTAAATTCAATTTAAATCTAGCTAAGCATGGAATAATTTTAAATTGGGCTAAGTACGTCCATAAATTCAATTTAAATCAAGCTAAGCATGGAATAATTGTAAATTAGGCTAAGTACGGAATAAATTCAATTTAAATCTAGCTAAGCATGGAATAATTGTAAATTAGGCTAAGTACGGAATAAATTCAATTTAAATCTAGCTAAGCATGAAATAAATTTAAATTAGACTAAGTACGGAATAAATTCAATTTAAATCTAACTAAGCATGGAATAATTTTAAATTAGGCTAAGTACGGAAAAAACTTACTTGACACCGTAAGGGGGATTTTGCAGAAAGTTTAGCTCATCATCGGCTCTCCGGTATGGACGTGGGTCTAGAGGTGCGAACATTGGAAAATGCTCCAATACCCACAACTGTAGGATAAACATCGCAGCACCAGCTTGTTTTGCTCCCACCTTCGAGCAAGTGCACAGCTCCCGGTATACGCCAGCTAACAAGGCCGATCCCCAACTCTTTTCCCCGATTGCGTCCCAGTCACCAGTGAGCAATGGCAACCATATGCCTTGAATCCACCGGTTTGACTTGTCGGGGAACAGAAATCCACCCACCAAACCAATGAGGTAGATGCGTGCATAGTGCTCCACTTGATCTTCCGGAGTCTCGTCATTGATTTCCACCTCATTCTGGATGTGAGTTATGGCCACGGGATCGACACTTGTCCCGCATTCAACGGTGGATGTCCCCGTCCTTGAAATGGTGTCGTGGTCGGCATGTCAAATCCCAATTCAGCAAGAATGAGCGTCCCCCAACCTCCTTCCGGTTTGGTAGTGGAACCAATGATGGCATCTCCAGAAATCGGCAGCCCGGTGAGGATCGCCATGTCTTTGAGGGTGATCGTCATTTCCCCCTCCGCAAGGTGGAACGTATGGGTTTCGGGACGCCATCGCTCCGTCATTGCCGTAAGCAGATCGTTGTCGATTTCGATCCGTATGAAATGGCGCAACATACCCAACATGGTCCTCTCTATATAGGGCGCCAACCGTGG